CCCCAAACACCCCCCACCCATCCCCATGCATTTCCACCCATGCCCCTGCCTCTCCCTGGGGCTTTTCCAGGCCAGATGCCCCTTCCCCAGCTCCGGGGCTCACTTTGGGTTGAGCCTGGATGAAGGGGGATGTGGGGGGTGGCTACGACTCAGTTTCCCCAGACTGAGCATCTTTGGGTCACCCCCCCAGGACCAAATGTAACCCTTTAACTCTGGGATACGTCACTCCCCAAACACCTCCCTCCCCTCCAAGAAGCCATTTCAGGCCCCCTGAAGCCTGGAGTAGAGGTGCTGGGAACCTGGAAGTGAAAAGCCCCCCAGGGAGGGTCCTCAACGTTTGCAGAGGGGTCGAGGCGGACAAGGGCCTGGCTGGCTCGGGGAGAGAGTTTCTGCCTGGAAACATGTTGCGGGAGATGGAAGGAAAGATCCAGGCTCGGAGGCAGGATGGAAAGGAGGTGGAGACCGGGATCCGGGGATGGAAAACGTCTCCCCGGCATCCGGGACACGGAAACGTTGGAAGGGGGCAGGGAACAAGGCTCCTCTCTGGGGCAGGCGTCTGGATCCGGCCCCACCAGGTTGGATCAAAGATGACATGAGCAGAGACTCCCCCCATCGCCCTCCCTCCGTGCCCCACGTCCTGGCAGAGACCAGCCGGTTTCAAAGGGCCTCTGGGTCCAGTCCAAGCCTCTTTGGAAGTGAAACCAGCTGGAAAATGCCCAGTGCTTTTCTCCCCCCCCGTCTCTGGGCATGTGGATTTGATATTTTTGCAATGAAAATCCCAGGAAAGAAAGAAAAAACCCAAAACAAAACAAGTTACAGGTTGAAAGCCAGCTTCAGGGACAAGCGTCGGGCTTCGAAACCCACCGAACCCTGAAAAACACCCAGGAAAGGCATCGACTCAGCCGAGACCCCCAAGTCCTGCCCTGAAAACTGATTTTTCCCAAACCAGGGAGAAAGGGAAGAGGGAACTTTCTAGCTGAAAGCCGATGGTTCGGCTGAAAACTTACAGAATTCACAAGAAAAGGTTAAAAAAAGGGGGAGTTACCGTATTCTCTCACATACAACACGCGCCTTTGCACTCACAACCGGCTCCCTGTGTGGCTATTCAGGGAGTCAAGTGACTTAATGGATCGTCCCAAGAGGACGGAGCTGGGCTGGTCTCAGTGGGGGCAGAGGACAGGACAAGGAACAATGGGCTCAGGCTGCAGCAAGGCAAGTTGAGGTTGGATATGATATTAGGAAGAACTTTCTCACGAGGAAGGTGGTGAAGCGCTGGATCAGCCTGCTCAGAGCAGCGGTGCAGTCTGCATCCTTGGAGGTTTTGAAGACCCGGGTAGATAAAGCTTTGGCTGGGATGATGGAGCTGGGGCTGGTCCTGCCTTGAGCCCTCCTGAGATCCCGTCCAACCTGAATTTTCTATGATTCTTCTTCACTCCGGAGGTTTGAATGACCATCTCTGTCTTAACTGCTCTTGCCAGTCCGCTAATCAAATTCACATCGCTTGCCTGCTGCTCCTGGTCTCCCTTCTCCCATTTCGAGGTTCCTTTCAAAAGCAGTGATGCACCAGCCTTCAGCAGCAAGTAGGGTTTCAGCTTTAGTTAAGCAGTACAGGGAAGGCGAGCAAGGTGAAGAGGAGGCTCCACCCCTGCTCCACACAGCCATGACCTCTAGACAAGTCTCCCCCCACCTTCATTCTGCCTTTCAAAAGCCACCCGCGGGTCTGTCTGGGCCGCGTGGCAGGACAGGAAATACGGTGCTTCCCCCAGTTTTGACATCTCAACTTCAGTTTCCTTTTGGATGGAAAAGCTCTTTTTTGGGGGGTCTCGAGCTCTCCGATAGCTTCAGGACACAGCCGACTCCCTGTCCCGAAAGTGTTAATTGTTTTGCCGCTGCCTCCCCCCCCAGTTCCTTGCTCGCTCTCCTGGGATTTAGGGCAGGTCTCAGCTGTCCCTGCTGTTGCAGGGCCCCGCCCTGGGCTGGGATTAACCCCCACCCTGGGCCCTGATTGAATCCTAATCCTGAAGCAGCAAACCGTGTTTAATCAGAGGCTTTCATCTGCCCCACTCCCCCCCACCTCCCCGGGCGTCTGCTTGCCCCCGGCTCCGGCTCCCGGCGATGGCAGCGGCTGGCTGCGGCAGAGATATGCACACACGCACACATACACTATAGGCCCAGAGATACACCCCACCCCACCCCACCCCCACACACACACACAACAGGCAGAGATATAGCCACCCCCACCCCCTAGGCATACACGCATACCCTAACGACAGAGAGATACACACCATAGGCAGAGATATAGCCACAGACACACACACAGAGCAGAGATTGCGTGTACATCTCTGTACAGAACTGTGGCTTTGCTCAGAGGTTCGATGCCCAGCTTGTCCGGGCCACTTCGGACAGGCCTGCTCCTGCCTTGGGCTGGGCTTGGACTGGATGTGACCCCTGGAGCTCTCTCCGGAGCAATTTAGGCCCTTTTATTTCTTTAAATGACCGCCGATCTGGGCTGCATGGACAGGCTTGGAAAACAAAGACCGTGGGCAAAAGCCAAGAGTCGGCGTTATCCAAGGGCTGCAGACCACCAGTTTGGAGGCCTGGGTGGGCAGGACTGAGAGGGAGAGGCTGGAAGAGCTCGAGGGGTCACGTCTGGAGACGGAGGGGGGGGTTTGATCCCAGTCTTGGGGCGACAACAGAGAGGACGGGGACAGGCTTTTCTCTGGGGCCGCAGGGGACAGGACTAGGAGCAACGGCCTCCAGCTGCAGCAGGGGAAACTGAGGCTGGAGAGGAGGAGGGTCCAGCACTGGGCGTCTCCATCCCTGGAGAGGTCCAAGCGCAGGCTGGAGAGACCCGGGGCCGGGAGGGTTTGAACAGGGCCGATCCAGATGTGACCCAAAGAGGTCCCTTGCAGCCGGGCTTCCCCCTGACACCTGCCTGCCCGTCTCATTCCCCTCTCCAACGCGACCTGCTCCTCGCTCTATGTGCGTGCAGCGCCGTGCACACAGGGCCTTTTGCTTTCAGTGCTGTACAGTGTCCTACAGCCGCCAGGGTTGGGGTGTGCAGGGGAGCCCCACCTTGGGCCCCGGGAGCTGACACCGGGACTCTCCCCGCAGGGGGGTTCCTCTTCAAGCAGTGGAAGGAGAAGTTCCTCTTCCTGGCCCTGGACGGCAGCCTGATCATCAGCCGTGACGCCCAGTCTCCGGCCGAGCTGGGCATCTCTCTGGGCACCAGCTGCCGTGCCATCCTGGAGGGCCGCGAGCTCGGGGACCTGCCTCGCCTGCCCGGGGGCGCCCGGCCTGACAGCTGCCTGGGGCTGAGCCTCAGTGACGGCCGGGTCTTGCTCCTCCTGGCCCCAGACAGCCAAGTTTGCAGGTAGGACCAGGGTGGAGGGCAGGGGGAAAGCAGGGCGGGCAACTCCCGGCCTAGGGGAGATGCAGACGTGCAGGGGATGGGGGCTGCTATCCAGCACCTGTTCTCTGCCCCACTCAGCGGGGTGCCCGAGAGCCTTTGCAGGGTGCTACAGCGGGGACCTGCCCTCGGCAGCTCCCATCACTGGGTACAACCCCGGCGGGGGGGATCGGCTGCCCATTCGCCCTCCCATCTTGCTGGCCGCACGCGAGGAGCCAGTTTCAGACCCAAGCCAGCACAGATCGAACTAGGGGAACGTGCGCTCGTTTGCTACGATATCAGTTAAACAGAGGCTGGAAGCTTTGCCCCTAGGCTAGTGGACCTGGCACTAGAGGATCCACTTTCAGACCAAAAGCAAATCCAAACGTAACCTTTGCAACACGCAGCCCTTTGCTAGATGAGTTTTGAAGTTTAAACAACAAACAACACCTCAAACGAGGCAAAACCTGATACGCTGCCCTGAGTCCCATGGCTGTCGGAGTTCAACGACGGCTCTTCTTTAGCTCCGCCCAGCAAAATCTCACCTTCTTGAGCACCTTCCTGGTGCCTCTGATGTGTCGCTGTTGGTTGTTTTGACCCCTGAGCTCGTGCGACGGTGCCCGCATGAAGAGTTGAAGCCATTGCAGGGCAGGGAAA